AAAACCCACAAGTCATTCATTTTTTTACGTCCAACTTTATTGCTTCCGTAAAACTCTCCTGTGGCAGTTTACGTGCCTTAGAGCTAGCTGGAGATTTCTGAGCTCTGACAATATCGTTTGATCTGGCGATGGTGCAGCAAAGCACAGCATGCGCCAAGTTGGAGGGCAGCAGGTCCTCCAGGCCACCTCCTTCATGGTCAGGAGAACTGAGACTGAATTGGGTCTGGGAGCCTCATCAAGGCTGCATGAGAGATTAGGGATGTTTAGGCAAGGACCTGAGCTCTCCTGACAGCGCCGGAGCCCTTCTTGGGGACCAGCACCCACTCGTTCACTGTTCCCTCCTACAGGTTTCCCACTCACCTCCTGAGACCCACAGAAACTTTTGCTCTCTCCCTCTCTGCCCTCACCCATATGTTGATAAAAGGGATTGCTTGATATGCATGTTAAGGGCAAAATTGCTTTATCCAAGAGAAGGGGGTACGTGATTTAATTAAGATTTCATTTTATATTGAAAGAAATTTAAAATAAACCACAAGGCTATTGCTCTAGTTTACCAGTGTCTGTGCATTGCATTAATAATTTCCCTAACCACGTGCTGTATGATTTTCATGGAAAAGTAAGAGTCTGTAGAGTCTGTAACTAATTTTGAGATGGTGAATGGAATTTGTAGAATGAGCTGATGATGGTTTATTGCTCGGTTACAATGATATTCATGTAAAAAGATACGAACTGTTAACAAAATGGCTTTGATTTCATTGTTGCAGTGGGAGGTTCCGACTGTGAAGTATTTTAGACTCGAGCACAAAGAGGGAGGAAGATTAAGTGGTGTGGAGTCTGCCTCTGTTCTTAGGTTAGTCAGAGATTTATACTAGCCCTGAGGCAAACTGAAGTAGCCTCATGCTTTCTCCTGAAAGAAAATACAAATAATAATTTAAATGACAATAGAAAAAGAAATTCTCAATACCAAAAACTGTAGCAGGACCTGGAACTATATTACTAGTGTACTTCTCTTAGATTAACATATGGAATTTTTACATGACTTGTGATGGGAATTGGGCGTTACGGGGCAAACCAGAGCATGTTTTTCATATCCAAGGTAAACAAATCCAAGCCGAAGAGGCTTGGATTTCACTGGGGTCTGTTGGTTCTGCTAGTTCTGAGCTGTAGCGGCGTGGGTGCTGGGGGTACCTGCTCAGCCTGGCGCCCAGAGCCCAGGCGTCTGTCTGCACGTTCTCCTTCTCTGTTGGTCCTGGCTTCCAAGCTCCTGCTCCCCCATGCTGTGATTCACAGATACGAGGAAAGGCAGTTGTGTTCTATGGGGGTGGTTTGGAGGGCTAGTGTTGAGTTTATCTATGTATTTACTTAGTGTCACAATCCTTACTGCCCACAGACTGGGCGCTCTTTCTGTAACAATACTGATTTATTTAGATTGTTGCACTTCTTTCTTGTTTCCTTTCAAGTATATCAGATTTGGAAACGCAAAATCCTGAAGCTGTTCACTTAAATTTATTAACAAGGAACTGAGCAGTGAGAAATATAAAATAAAAGCAGAGAATTTTGATTTGTTTAGGGCAACTTTTTTTTTCTCCCCAATTCTTTATACATAATGAGCAATTGTTGCTCCAAATTAATTTTTTCAAGGGCCAAACTGAGCAAAAAAAGTGCTTCTTCCACGAACCTTCACTGCTGCACTCTGTGCACTCTGCTGCAGATGTGGTACATGAAGATTTGTACTTACTGTTTCATCATGACATGCCAGTGGTTGCAGGCATAACAGGTGCAGTGGCTTATGCTCACTTTCTTGTAGTGGCTTTTAGACTATGCAGAACTCTTCAGGAGGGAGTGTTGTTAGTTTGTTTCTGTTTGTTTGTTTTTCTTTTGTTTATCCCGTAAGTATTGGGAATATCAGTGCAATTTCTGCACTACTGAGAAGATTTTTGTTATTGTTGCTGTATTGCTTTTGTGCTGGCCTACAAGTCAATGAATTCTCCTGTATTTCAGTTTGCCTGTGTGTTGCAGCGAATGTATTTCCTAGAGCTAATTTCATATCCAAGGTAAACAAAACAAGTGTCCTCTTTTTAGTGGCACTGGTGTCTATCCTGTGCCATCTAGTTGCTGGCACTTCTTTTGATTTCTGCAGTTATGTCGGCATACTTTTCATGTGGGAGGAACAGACTGCTAAGGATCAAAGGAGAGCAAAGCCCTAGTGGGGAGGCTAGATCCATCTTTGGCACAGTTTTGAGTACCCCACTTCTTCCTTGAACTCCTCTCTGAATTTCTTTCAGATCAGTTAACGAGAAGCCCTACAAAAAGACACCTCAAATATGTGAGCAATTGTCAAAAGCATTTTGCAACAATGGCCATGTCTCAATCTTAAAAATAGTTCTTCACGGTGATGCTAAGGCCATTTATAGTCTTAGTCCCCTAGGTTGTTGATGATATTGCTCTTAGATGCTGAACTTTTAAGAAGCCCTGGCCCTTTGTGTCTCCTAAGGCTCTTTCCTGAATGTTTTTCCTTTTGGCAACTTCCTCAGATTTTATTATGAGCTGTTCAGGGGAATGCAGCCTCTCATGTCCATCCTGCATGTACATAAATTATTTTGTATTCAGAACTTACTGTATTTAAGCTCTGATAAATGCGATTAGCTAGCATAGTTCTGAAATGAAAATGAAGTTGCGAAAACAAATGCAAACTTCAGTACACGTGAGGTCTGAAGCAAGTGAGCAGTTTCCTGATCACACATGGTGTTTTGGTTGATAACTTGTTGATAACTTGCAAATCCTTTCATATTGCAGTAACAAACTGGTATACCAATAGGAAAATGGCAATATTTTTATTTCTGGAATGAGATCACATTTCACTTTTAAGCCTTAGTTTTGGGGATCACTGAAAAGAGGGAGGGGAAGTGGGCTATTATTAAAGAGGTGACCTCTGCCTCCTTTCTTGTGCATTGCTGGGATTTGAGCTGTTCTTTCCATGCAGTAGTGGATGTGGTCTGTGCCCTGCTGGTCCAGGGCAAAAGCAATCTGTTCAAGTATATGCTTGGGTATAACCACAGAAATATTTCCAGGGAATGTTTTTGAGTGAGTTAATAGCATGACAGCTTGCTTATATAATACCCCAAATTAAACATGAAGGTCCCACATTTGGGCATTTTCTCCCTGTTTCAGCACTCTCCACGATCTGGCTGGTGAGCCAGCCAGGGTGAGTGATGCTGGTCTGATGCATCTGCTGCTTTATCAGTTTTTTGCTAAGTTATAGGTATGTGTTCATTAAAATCTGAAGTGTAGTATAAAAGCTCCAAGTAGTCCCATATCTATAGCATAACTTTGCATCATAGTACATTCACATCCTTCTTAAATGTTATTAAATGAAATATAAATTTGACTGGCAAAAAGTGGGTATGGAGTATCTGCTTAAATAACCAGCATTCATAATTTCATTGCTAGTTACTACAGTGCTGCCTCTTGAAACATATGCAACATTTTTCCTATCTTCATTTCATAAAAAGGAAAGGCTTTAATTGTACATAACCATATGCAAACAGTTCAAAGAAGCTTAAAGAGAAATCTTGATGCTATTTTCAGGGGGAAAAAAAAGTTTTAATTTACAGATAATATCTTTAGGTTTTAGCATACAGTCTATGACTGTAGTTTAATTATTCCAACAGTCTCCCTAGCTACAGCCAACTGGTGTTTGATTAGCATGACAAGGGAAGATCTCTTGTGTTAAAAGTGAGTCTCTCTTAAATACTTACTTTACAGTTACCAAAGGCTCTGTCAAGACAGAACTAAAATTATCTTAGGCAAAATTTTAACAAACATTGTACTTGCAAATAAGAGGAAGTTTTTTTTGCTCTTCATTCCTTAATTAATATCATGCTATGAGTTTGGCATTTTCTCTCTCTACCCGCCCCCCCCACCCATTCTTATTTAGTCTGTAAGTGAAAGAATAAAATTTTTAAGTTACATGTTTGTAAAATAGCAGGAGGGAAGCACTACATAACTCTGAGAACTACATTATTTTAGTGAACATAAAATTTAGCTCTCTCATTAAAAGCTTTTTTATATGACCTTTTTCTAGATTGCAATGACAAACTGTATTGTCTGAAGGGTTTTTCATTTTAGAGTAGCTTGCATTTTTTACATAGAACCTACCTCATTTCAGCAGAGACCTGCAGTTTTGAATGCAGAGCTCATTATCAGGAACTTCTCAGGTGTCCTGAAGGCAACCCAAGGAGACAAATCTGAAAGTAAATTTGAAAAGTCTATATGAAATGCCCAAGTAAAAGAACTGTAGCTTTAGAAAAGAGGCCTGCACTGAAGTGGAAATGAATGTGCTGTACTTGAATACAAGAAATCTTAACAGTTGAGAATTTCTGTCTCTGCATCCTTTTTCAAAGAAAGTGGTGGCAATTCTGAGAAAACTGCCTTTTTTTTTTTTCCTGCAATTTCTTTGTAAAATGCTAGTAAGAGCTTGTAAGAAGTTTAGGCTCTTTAATAGCAGCAAGGCTAGCACAACATTGAGTGATACAAGCTGTTCAGCTCAGACATCTGACCTTCGCAGAACAGAGATCAGCTAGACATAGTCAAATGCTGCTGTGCATATGCACCCGCTAGGGTTGCACAAATATTGCCAGTACAGAGAAGGTTATAACTCAAAAATTATCTTCACTGAGACTGTATTTAAAAAAAAAAATAGCAATTTCTGTCTACTTTTCACCATGAGGAGTACATTCCCAGGCTGTCATAAGGGCTATTGCCATCACTGTTATCTCAATATAAAGTCTTTGTGTTCAATTTGGAAGGACAGAACTCCAGTAGGGTAAGAAAAACTGAAATTAGGTCCAGCTGGGGAAAATGCAGCATCACAAACCATGCCTAGAGGCAGTACAGCAGGCTAAAAGGGAAGGTGAGGAAAATAACTGGTAGAAGGCATCGAAACTAACCACATCTGTGAGGTGTTTGCTGAGGCTATGAAATTATTGAAGATGCAGAAGATGGCGGCCAAGCAGGTAGCACTCCACAGGAAAATAAACAGCAGATGAGATTTTTGTACAGGAAAATCTGGGGAAAAAGAATAGCTCCATGGTATTAAGGTGAGCTTGGAACTGTCCATGGCCACGGGAGCTCCTGAGGCAGTGTGGCAGCACTGTCCCTGGTGCCCAGCACTGCCTGTGCTGCTGTGCTGTGTCCCGTTGAGGGGGAGAACTTTCTGGAAGGTGCCATGAGGGGCACAGAGCACCAGCTGCCTCACGGGCAGCAGTGCTCAGGAGAGCTCAGTGAGGCTGAGAAATGGTTAAACGGACCAAAACCTCCGAGGAGCATGTGTGGCTCAGAGCTTTGAAACATGCTAATTCTGTGCTCACTGCAGCAGAGAAGCAATGTCCCATGCTTCTGGTGTGACCCTGTGGTTTGGATCATCACTGACATGCTGGCGAGGCCTCAGGCATCGTGCGCCAGTCCTGACGGGCGCTCAGCCTAGACTACCTTCCACCAAGCGCGCTTGCTTGCCCCTTGTAATTAAGGGCTTGTAAATGTTACCTCTACTTTTGAAGTTTTGTTTACTTAGAGTGCTGTAAATGTCAAGTGTGGCTACTGTTGCTCGTATGTAGAAATGTTGGAAATCTGAGGTGGTGGCTCAAGCAGCCCCGTTCAATGGGTCTCACAAGGTAACTAGGGCTTTGCCTCTACCTAAGGCTATATTGGTAATGTGAAACTTGGCTCTTCCTGAAACATCAGCAGACGTGAATGCCCTTGTTTATGCTTATAAACATCTCATGTGGTTTCCCAGGTGCATCCCTTGCAGAGTTTGTTTGCCATCAGCAAAAACTTAGTGGTGTTTGTATGGCCGGTCCCTTTCCCTAAGTGCCTCTGTGTTGCTGTTCTGAAAGCTGATCCTGTGCCGCCTGTTCAGCAAGGTGCTGGGGAAACCCGGCATCTCCCTCTGCAAAGGAAGCTGGAGAGTATTTTCCCTTTGAATTAAAATATTTTTTACTTTGGGGGAAGATTGCTATTTACCAATTTAGGTTGTGGATTTTCTCTATGGGATTTTGAGAGAGAACTTTCTGAATTTAGGTCTGTTAATCCTCCTTCACTTAGGTTGCATGCCAGGGAAACCTTGCAGTACCAGTTTTTGTCAAGATGTATTAAAAATGAAAAACTGGTTACTTTGAAAGTTTGGGGAATTCAAATATTTTGTAAATTGTCACTTTTCATTTTGTTTTTGAGGAAGCCTGAGAATCTCCTCAATCGTATCATTAAAACACATTTAATAATGCAGATATTCTTACAGAACTGTTTGAGATTGTTTAATTTTTTGTGTTTTATTTTTCAACTTTTGTTTTCAATTTAGATGATGCTGTTTTGTAGTTTTTAATGAATAGAAAGAGGCTGAATGTGTGCGCGCAGTTCAAGTGTGCAGATTTCTAGATGCCATGAGCTTGACCTCGGTCCTTTGACTTTTGCTTTTGCAGTAGGAAACAGAGTGTTTCGTGATGGGCTGCCCAATGTATAATGAAAAGTTCTCCTATCGTGTTAGTATCAATCAATACATTAGATTCTGGTTCTTGTTCCAGTGAAGTGAGTGACAATTTAATAAGGTTTTGAGAATTAAGATCTCATATGAGCAATGACTCCATGGAAGTTGTCTACACAAAAAAAAAAAAAAAAAAGGCACTTTATGAGTGAAATTCTGGCTCTAGTAAAGAGGATTCAAGTGGTCTCAGTCAGATATTCATTTTCCTCTTTGAAAATTTCAGTTTATTGTTGATTAAGTGTTGAAGAGAGAAATTGGAAGACAAGAATGGTAGCTCAGCATGACATGTCAGTATTACCAGGTCTTGTCATTTAATTACAAATTCTTAAAATAAAATCACCCCCCCCCCCCCCCTCTTTTTAGAGTGGAGTTGTGGGAGGAGGCTAATATTTCCAAATGTAAGACTTGGTAGATATTTTTAGCAATGTTAATTGAAAATAACATTGTCGCCAAATTGAAGTTTGCTTGCCCTTTGCTTTTGCTATCTCTTAGTTACTTGTATTGTCTTAATCAGTGATACTGACACCAATTTTAACATTCTGTATTTAGTCTTTACAGCATCTCTTTCATTTTGTCTTATTTTTTTTCCTCTATAGTTACTACAACATATTCCACTGAGCGATCTGAGCACTTTAAGCCATGCAAAGACAAGGATCTTGCATACTGTCTCAATGAGGGGGAATGCTTTGTGATTGAAACCTTAACCGGATCACATAAACACTGCCGGTAAGTCATTTGCTAATTTGCTTAAAAAAAAAAAAAATTAAAATTAGATTTAAAATTTTAAAATTTAGAATTTTACATATGTAAAGTAATAGAATTTGTACTAGATTGTGATATGTGTCTTCATGGTTTTTATGCTTATATATAAAAGATCTTTCAGATGGCCTGCCTTCACCAAATCCTTGTTTTTTCACTGTGATGAATTAACATTCTGCAATGTTCTGGGTAAAGATAGGGAGCTCTTCCCCATGACTCAACATTCTTCCTTGTTTAGTTTTAAATTTTCCCGGTAAAGTGAAAATTTTCAACATCTTCTCTTGCTTTGTTCTTATGTATGGAACTAGGAATATCATTTGTGAATCTTGTGTCTCCTGTGTTTAGTTTTACACTTAGGCATTGATTTTACAAATTTCAGGCACTGACATGTTTTCTGGGAATTAAATACCTATCTATTTCAGTTGGCATTTTGAAGTGAGGAATACTAAAAGATGTGTATATGGCAATAAAGATTTTCATATTTTCATTAAATTTTAAAACCATTAATGCATTATTCAATTCTGCAAGGACTTTAATTAGCAGGTCTTTGGGTCTTTTTTGTTATACTGATATATGTGTTATTGATCACTTTTAGAGTGTTTTATTTATAACATAGAAGCAGGTTATCTTGATGTCCAATTTGAAGAATAACCTTTTAATTTGACTTTCAAATTCTGGATCTGGGATTCATATTTCTACTCACTAACAAAACAGTCTTTCTTGGAGCAAGTGCTGCAGTGAGTGGAGCACAGTTGTTGTTGTTGTTGTTGTTGTTTTTTCCCTATCTATAGCTGAGATACGTTCTCTGAACTAACAGCTAGAGCATGTATGTATTGAAAAATACAACATTGATGTACGGCTCTTGTCCTCTTGCTAGGAAAAAAAAAATATCCCTGACAATGAAAGGTTTATGGAATTCCCATTACAATTAAAAGAATCATTTGACTACAGAATGAAGGAATTGAGCGAGAAATTATACTTTGTTCTTAGAATCAAGCTGCATTGTATATTCTCATTAGGAGTTTGATTTTTTGCATCTGTTCTGGGAACAGAGCACCAATTTACTGAAATGGGAATTTGCTATGCAGAACAGCTGCAGACTGGAGACCTTGATGTAGCAAAAAGCTTTATCTCTCTCTCTCTTTTTTTTTTTTTTTTTTTTTTTTTTTTTCTTTTCAGGTCTAAAGAGTGTTAGTAGATAATATGCTTAGACAGTGGTGCAGTTATTCTTGTGTTTGTACGTGTATAAGGATATACACACAAAGTATTGTTAAAGTGAAAGTAAATTTGAATGAGCTTTAACAGCAATTTATTAAATATTTCGGTGAGATGCCAGGGCTCTCCTGTATCCTCATGAACAGTATTGCCAATACAAACAGGGTAGTAATAAGTCTCAACTGGCAGTTCGAGTACCATTCATAGGAGACAAAATTCATCATGCCCTTGTTGGAGCAGAGAAGGAGGTAAGCACATGTCGAATGCCAGCAGTCGCTAACAATGATGCCAGCTGGCTCTGTAACTTTTTTTCATGAGCTACATTCCACATCTAGTGGAAATGCCCGTAATTGTCAAGAGCCGGACCAGGACATGTCCTTTGAGAAGGGCCAAAGGGCGCTGTGCTGCAGGAGGCCATTGGGAGGAGAGCGCGTGAGGAAGTGTGCGGCAGCCCTCCTCAGGTGGTATTTTCTGTTCTTACCCACCTCAGCATGAGTTGTCCTGACATTACAGGATGTTTTAGCTTAATTGGCAACTGGACAAAAGAATACAGTGTGTGGGTGGGTGTTTTTTTTTTTTTTTTTAAATCTGTAATACTATGTTTGTTTGAAATTCCAGTCTTAGTCTGTCACTTTTGATGGATGGGTGTTTAATGATTAAATGACAGAGAGACAGAGATTTCCAGTGTGGTTATATAATGTAGAAGAAGATACACTGTTTGCTGTTTGTGCTATTTTAAATGTGTGACTTCAATATTTATTTTCGTGAATGGTTTTGACACTAACTTATTTAAGGATAGAATGGCTTAGCTGTCGGGAAACGTCATTTATTCTCCATATGCTGTAGCTTCTTCCTTGAATAGGGTTGTCTTCTTAAATTAAGAACATAAGTTGAATGGTGAGGGTGCTTGAGTTGTTCTGTGTAATGAAAAAACTTCATAGTCAATACTGACATAACAGCATTTAACTGAATGTTACCCAATGCAGCATTTAAAAACAAAAACAGAAAATAGTAGTAGTTCTGGTTTTGTCTGTGTACACTTTTATTTTTCAGAGTAACTTTGGAAACTCTGATTTTTGAGTTAATAACTTCTACTGTTTTCTTTTTAGTTCCTTTCTCCTGATTGCTAATTTAGAACTGAAAATAAATGAATACCTAAAACTTAGAATGGAGGTTGAAGAGGTTTGCACTGTTGTTACATTTCTCTTCCAAAAAAAGCTGCCGAGACTATTGTGTACACACTGGAAATACTGGAGGTGGCAATGAGCTCTAATGTACTCTTCACAAGCAAAGCAAAAACTGAAAATAAATCATTACTGAATAAACGAGGCTTTTCATCCATAGTGCAGTATTACAAGGTTAATTTCATCAAGAATAACCCACTGTATTAAGCTGATGACCAAATGTACACTTACAAGGATATAGAAGAGAAAGAAAGCTGAACCATAATTTAGGAGACTTCTCATGTCAAGGGCAATCAGCAGATCTGTTATGAAAATTACTGGCTTATTAGCATAGCTGTAGGAAATTATATACATCATATTTGGGTAGCTGCAGCCATCAACTGGAAATGCTGTGCTATTCACTTTAGAAAAGTGGTGGCAAATGTGAAATATTTCATTAAGTAGCTCCACACTGTTTGTATGCATGCATATACATATATATATGTCTGTATATAGATAGGTAAATACTGTGTTGCATTGTTATGTCACCTGCTTACTCAGGAGTGCTTTTGAACTCTTGCTTGGCTTCAGATAGAGTTTTTTGATGCCTAAAGCATCATGACTGTGATACTTTCCAAAACCTAGACCTGCAGAAAATCAGGAAGGACAAATTCTGTCCAAAAACCGATCATGTGGATTGCACATCCAGCAGAATCTGCTTGGCTGTGCTGATTATTATGAAGACTGTGTTATTGAAAGATATTATTTAGTACATACTGCCTGGAACTAAATAGGTGAAGGAGTAAAGTCTGAAAATTGCAGGTAAAAAACAAGTGGTAAAATTGGTCCACCTAACAAAGGCTGCTCCATCATTTTACAAGAAACGTATTTTCCCCTTTCTTCCAAAGACTGTAAATGAAAAGTTCACAATTAATAAAAGTGTTTGTAGAGAAGAGCATCTTTAAAAGTATGGGTGCAAATATCAATAGCACATATTACATGTTTCTGGAAGCTAACATATGCAAAAATGTTCTGCCATCAAATCCTCGTTTTAAATTAACTTAGAAATATGTTGGGTTGTTTTATTTTTATTATTTCTTCCTGTCTTCCCTAGGCAAGAAGGAATTTGTGAAGTGTATAATGCAGATATCTGAAATCTCACTCATTAAAATTCTCATCTTTGCTAGTGACTAAAATACACTGAAAGCAATAGCATTTCCAACCTAATCCTTTCTGCAGACAATCTCCCAGAGGACTACCTTGAAAGATATTTTACTAGTATAAGAAATAAATACCTCTGACAATTAATTGACTGACTGAAATAAAAGTAAATGCCAACTATGTGAAATTACTAACAAATAATAAATTTTAATCTGCAAGTGCTCTAGTTAATCTGGGTAAGAACAAACAAAAGCATTTCTGTTCACTCATCTATCATTCTGCAAACAAAACCCTCCTCACTACCATAAACAGGAACAGGAAGGTAAGTGCAGGTGAATTCTGTAGTGTTACAAAAAAATGAGGCATTTGGATTGAAGGTACATGTTTAAAAACAAAACAAAAACATACCAGCTTATATGTGCTATGATAAAGAGATAAGTTAGGCATTTAAAGATGACACAAATACTTCAAAAACGAAACAAATTCCTTGAGATTGGCCAGTGAGTTTTTATGTGCTTTTAAAATGTGTTTTTAGAGGAGAACTCTTGAAATGTAGATTTTTGAAATTCTATTTTGGCCTAATGGGCAGGAAGATCTCTTCTGCACCCCATTAGCTAGTAAAAGCATTTCATCTATTGTGGATTGACAGAAAACAAAAAGATGGATCAAAATATCTCAATTTACCATTTTGACAATTTTGTCAGATAAGCTGTTTCTCATGGTTTTCTATAGAGCTGAGAGTGAAATAATATAATAAAAATCAAATATTTAACTACTGCTACAGCTGGAGTGAGCTGAGACTTTCACTCTGTATTCTCAAGCTTTAGAATGTGAGGTCTTCTGGGGCCAGGGTTCCCTGATGGACAAAGCAGAGTTTTGCCAAAAACTGTTGGGTTTCCCTGAACCTAATTGATTTATTCAGAACTCCTCTTCACTGACAGGTGGTTGTTTTGTTTTGTTTTGTTTTTCTGAACAGCTGTGTGAAGCTCGTGGTTGCTCTTTTGTTCACCTTTTCCCCTCCGAAAGGTTTTGACATCCTTGACGTGTTGATTCTGATTGGCCTCTTCCAGAGCACAGGAAACCTGTGTTATGGCCAGGGCTAAGCATGGCCTTGTGGGTTGTGTTCCCCCTCACTAATGTCCTCGTACATCTACTGTAGCATCTGTTCTTCTGGCTTCTGTACTGTGAACCTTTTGCCAGTGTGAATTTACAGAATAAGAAACCTTTCTGAGAAGCAAGCCATGTAATTAAGAAAGATAGCTGCTTTTAGCTTATTAATCTGTCCTGTAGAAAAGTAAAAAGTGTGAGGGGCTTGGAAAAGGGCAGGCACTTGAAAACATATATTATTACTATCATACATTTTGTGCAGTAACTTGGTTGTTTGCTGTTTACAAACAGAGGATTTATGTGCAACTTATAACTTATAAA